GTCATTATTATTATGATAAATCGATGTTAAATCGAATTCCATTCTGTTAGAATGAAAAAAAAAAAGTGTAATCCGTAAATGAAATGATTAAAGAATACTAAATGTAATGCGAAATGAAAAAGATGGTATGTATAAATAGAAAGAGGAAAAAAAGAGTAATAAAATAAAAAAAAATGATAAGATCATTTTGTAGAAATCCTTAATTTAAAATTAATTTTTATTGAAGAATTCATATTTGATTACTATACAAGTTGTACAACCATAAATGTTGTTCATTAATTAATTGCTCTTTAATTAACTTTCTTGATATTTATGAATGATAAATGATAATATTTACACCTGCAAATATTGCTTGAAAATTTTAAAAAATTCAATTTTCAGTCTATTTTATTCTAGCTGAAAGAGGAGAAGGCAGGGATTTTTAAAAAATTAAAAATTAAATCGATAGTTATGAGCAGTACTTTTGCATTTTAGTGCATGGGAGAATTCTCAAAATTAAAATATTTTTAGTTGTACCGTCATTGATAAATTTTTGTAAAATTTGGAAATTTTAATTGGAAAAATTAGATTATTTGAGGAGATTAGATTATATATCAACTTCAGCTCTTTCACCTGTCATGTACAGGAATTCATATTTAGTAAAATTTGCTATCTAAATTAAAATAAGGAATTAAATTCGATGAAATAATCACTTCCAATTAGTATACAAAATATTTTTTGCACATTTATAATAAAAATAACTTTATTGTATAACAATTCTGTCTTTTTTTGTCCGATAAGATAAACTTGAAATCGAATTAAAATTAGAATTAAAATAGCTCATTCTCATAAATAATACCAATAATTTCACATAATTATTATACAATTTGCTGTGAAACAGCACTTTGCGAACCAAATGCGAATCAATTAAGTACATCATGTGATAACATCAATAATCAGTTCTGAATTAACAATGGAAACTTAAATTTATCATCCTTCGAGAAAGCAAAAAGTAAAAGTTTTAATTTTAAAAAATGGAATAAACAATGCCGCCTGGTATTTCATAATCCTTCTCATTCAAATTAAAACGAAAGAGCAAGAATATTTCTCATTTAAATTCAGTAAATATTCAATTCATGCATGAAATATGCAAATAATAAGAAAATTATTTGGGAAAAAGGAAGAACAAATGAAATAAAGAGAAGGAAAGAAAGAAAGAAATATTTGCTTTTTTTTTTTTTGTCAGCTTTCATTAACAACTTCCGCCGTTTCTAAATTAGCAATTGCTGATAAATCAGCATGCGTCATTGGTCTTCCCACTAATTCGCAGTACCCGTCTGAAATTGTTTTGCTTACACTCATTAAATGTAATACGGTATAATTAATTTAAGTGTTTTCTATCACTTGCTATCTTTCCTTGACAATTTCAATAATTGAAAAAATGTTTTTTGGTATTAGAGATTTGTTTCAGAAATTCCAAACTTTTAAATCTTTCTAAAAATATTAAACTATTTGAAATCATCGAATATTAAAAGGAAAAGGACATTGCTTCTTCTTCTATATTTTCCCTTAGTTTTTACGCTAGAAATTTTAATAAAATTTTGAAATTTATTTAATAAACAGACCAGGTGGCGGTAAACTATCACCGGGAACAAACTCAACATACGGACATTGCTGACTGTTCAAATCATTAAGATGTTCACAAAGATATGCAAATGAGGGCCGATCATTTGCATTATGCGACCAGCACTGAATCATTATATCGTATCTAAATTTCAAAATTTTCAGTTTAAATATTTTAACATTTGTTCACCTTAAACTTTTCTAAAATATTCCTATTTTTTGGAATTTTTAGAGATTAAAACAATCTATTTTATAACTTCTGAATGAATTTCTCTCCCTTTTTTTAATTTCAATTTCTTCATTATTTAAAATATTTAGAAAAAAAAAAAAAAAAACGAAGACGTACACTTCATTGCTGGACGATATGGGCTTTTCTAATCGATTACCCTGAAGTAAGTATTTTAATAAATCTTTATCACTAACAGTCGGATATGGAAAACCACCAAGGGTGCAAATTTCCCATAAAACGACACCATATGCCTGAAAATATGAATTAAAATTAAAACAATGAAAAATAATTAGAAAAAAAATGTGAGAAGAAATTTGAAATCTTTTTTTTATTTGGAAAATTTCAAGTATTCATTACACAGCAAATCGAGCGGTTTGTTTGTTTTTTTATTCGAATCCTCAAAAAGTTAAATTTTATGAAATTTGCAGAAGACTTTGACACAAAACTGAAACAATATTGCTGTGCAGTTGTAACAGTTTCTCATACTATTATTTAATCATTTATCATTTGTAATTAGCATTTTATTTTTTAATTGATCATCCATTCTTTATAATTTGGTCATTTATCATTTATCACTTGATTGCAGTGCTCTTATCATCATTCACTCAGTTATCATTTGTTATTAGCACTTTGTTATTTTATTATCCATCACTTATCATTTGATCTCAGTACTTATCATTTATTATTTTTATTTTATCTTTTCTTCCTCTTAATTAATCCGGTCCCTCTAAATCAACGTGGTTAAATAATTATTTTTCTTAATTGAACAAGATGAACTGAAAGGAAGGTATTGCTAAACGGACAAAAAGAGAAAGGGAGGGAGAGACGGACAGACGGATAGACAGACTGACTGACCAACTGGACAAATCGACAAACTATAATGGACACCTTTCAGCAATTTAGGGATGGGCAAATAAGCAATAAAATTATCGACTGCTAAGGTGTAAAAAGTAATAAATTGATGTTAAGACGTTGTAAGAATGGAGAAAATGGTGGAAGGGAAAAGGAGAAGGCGGGGAGACGAGGAGAGGCGGGGGGACGGGGGAGGGGCGGGAGGACGGGGGAGAAGATGTAACAACTGGCACATTGGAAGAGGTGAGAATTTAAGCGTTTTTCATTTTAATCAAATGAAATTTATTACATTTACGGTTAGCACAACATCTGTGAGAAAAGAAAAGTTAAGAATGAGCTATTGATAAGATAAGATAAGAGTCAATTGTAAATGAAGGAGAAAGGGAAGGAAAGATATCTTCAGAGCAAACTGCTGAAAACTTAACAATTTCAATGAAGACATACACTCAAACTGTTGCTTTACATAATGCACACACACACACACACACACACACACATACACACATACATACACATATACACATACATACATATACATATATAAACATACACATATACACACACATAGATGAAATGTATAAAATGTCAAAAGAAAATGAGGTGGAAGTATTTAACTTTGCTTTTGCAACATTATCTGAAGTATGACCTCATGTATACTTTGAAAATGGAGAGAGAGAGAGAGGGAAAAAGAAAGAGAGAGAAAGAGAGAGGATAACAGTGAAGCATACATATATTTATATATATTTTAATTATGTATAAATCTTCAAATTTACAAATTACTTAATATATTTTACAATATGCAATTCAAAATTTCTTCATTATTTAGTGTTAATTAATCAATAAATAATTATTTATGAGAAAAACCAACCCAGACATCACTTTTTGTTGAGTAAATGTTTCGTTGAATGGCTTCAACAGAGAGCCATCGAAGTGGTATTACACCTTTACTTGTTTTAACATAAACACCATGTCGTGATAATCCGAAGTCACTTATTTTCAATTGATTCCCTCGACTAACTAAGATATTTCGGGCTGCTAAATCTCGATGAACAATACCCAATGATTCGATATGTGCCTTAAAGAAATAATCAATTAAAAGTATATATTTTTCATTGATTTTCTCTTATTATTATTTTCAAAGAATTTGATTAAATTTTTTCAATAAATCTAAATGAATTTTTGAATTTAAATAGGATTAATTTAAGGTAAGAATTTTATTGTAAAATTAAAAATTCTGCAGCAAACATGAAATTTAACTAATTGAAAAAGAAAAAAAAAGAAGTTAATAAATTGAAAGAACATACCATTCCGTTGGCAACTTGTACAGCAAAACTTTGTAATTCAATAGGATCCATATGGTATGTTTCACTATGTATCGAATTATCATCCATATTTGAAAGGAATGATGAATGCATCGATGGTGGCAATGATGGACTAATTGGCGCATCACGGCCGTAAAATGATGATTTCATATTTACCATCGCTCGATCAAACTATAACAAATTGATTTTTTTCATATATCATACTTATAACTAGTATATACTATGATTAATATGATTTAATTGAGTTCACAATGATAAAAATATGAGTCATCTAATGTTATCATAATAAAGAATACTGGTTATTTATTATTGTGTCCATATTATCAAGATAAGAATAATTTTAAAATCATGAAAATAAGAATGTATTTGATGTTATCTTGATAATAAATGATATTTTACCTGTTTTCGAAGATTTTGTAAATAATGTTTGAGATCACCGAATGGTACATACTCCATAATCATGCATTGATGATTTGGTTCCGTACAACAACCATACATTGCGACAATATTTGGATGTCTTCCAACCTAAAATCTTCCCAAAAAAGAATTTTTTTTTTCTGCTCAAATTTTGAACGATAAATAACAAATAGCATTCCTTTGGAATGGATAAAAACAAATTAATTTGATAAATAAACAAATCATCAAATGATAGTTTATAAAAATGAAGCAAAATAAATAAATAAATACAAACAACTTTATGCTATTTTTATAAACAAACGTTAATTTTTCATTTTTCTCATTATAATTACTTACTGGAATGTATATATAATTGAAACATTATTATTACTATAAATAATAATTGTTATATTAATTTGCGGATATTAATAAATATTACAAATGTTTAAATTTAAATAAATTTCTATTAAATATTTTTGAATAATTTCAATCTGATTTGGTTCTTTTTTCTGAAAAAAAATCAAATTATTAATTCAATATGTCTTTTTATTTTACTAATTTATTTAGTATAAATGACTTGTTTCATAATGTCCATTTCGGCTAAAAATTCACGCTTTTCATTTTCATCAGCATTAGCTTTTAATTGTTTAACGGCAACTGTTGTTGGACCAATATATCCTTCGACACCATAAGCGGTACCCATGCATACGGTACCAAATGCACCTAAAACAAAGTAAGCTTTGACTGTTATTTAATTCTTCTCTTATTAAAAGCTTGTATTTAATTGTTTCAGTTCATAAAGATTTAAATTTTTTTCAAATAATTCAAATTTGTTCTTTGCTTTTCATTTCGTTGTTATTCACTTAAAGCTTTTTTGAAAAAATCGAATATTTTTTTTATTTAATTAACGTGACAAATGTAAATGTAAGAAAATAAATGAACCTTGTCCGATGATACCACCAACTTGAATTTGGTTAAATGGTATTTCATAATCGATTTGTGATGCTAAATTGTTAGTTTGCCGATAAAGAATATTTGTTTCAAGCATTGAATGGCTGAAACAAAGAATAATTTTTGTTGTTTATTTCGTTAATTAAATAGATCAAAAGAAATTAAAATTATTTAAAATTCTACAAAATTAAATTTAACAGTAAACAATTTTTGGAATTTTCTTTTTTAAAAAAAAGTATATATATATATATATATATAATTACTATACTATAGAAA